AAGATCTTCATGGTGGACACGAGAGGTACAACTGGCAGTTAAAGAGAAGAAAGTAGCGTTCAAGAAATGGATTGGAAATAAAAATCCTTCAACTCGCTTGCGATATGTTGAGGCACGCAAGGTGGCAGCGAAAGCAGTGGCGAACACCAAAGCTGATTCCTTGCAGAAGTTCGGTGAGGTGTTGGAGTTGAATTTCCACACGGCAAACAAAGTATTCTGGCAGACGATCCGTCGGTTCTGAGGTGAAAAGAAGGGCAGTCTCAGAGGATTGAGCGACAGGTCTGGACACCCTCTTACCAAGGATGATGGAGTTCTTTGGCGATGGAGGGTATACTCTGAGGAACTCCGTAATACCGCGCCACCGCAGGAAGGCTCGCGTGTAGAGCAGGAGGGTACGGATATTGCTATCTCTGTAGATGGAATTACACAAGCTGTGAAAGGCTTGAAACGTGGAGAAGCTGCTGGAATCGATGAAATCCGCGTTATAATGCTCAATGCATTAGGGAAACAAGGCATACACTGGCCTACACGGGTCTGTCAAATTGCGAAGACTGCGGGAAAGACACCAGCAGACTTGAGAAAGGGAGTTATTGCACCCGTATTCAAGAAGGGAGACCACAAGAAATGCTCCAGTTGCAGGGGTATTAGGTCATTAAGCCTCTCAGGTAAAGTCATGCAAAGGTGTTAGAAAGGAGGTGCCGTAAAAGAGTTGACCTCAAGATCCAAGAAGAGCAGTGTGGCTTCCGGCCCGGTCGAAGCACCTCTGACCAAATATTTGCCGTGCGCCGGATTGTTGAGAAATCGTAGGAGTACGCCCATCCGGTGTATATGTGTTTTGTGGACCTAGAGAAAGCGTATGACCGGATCCCACACAACAGTCCGTGGACATGCCTTCGTGGATACGGGATTGATGGCCAGCTGCTAAGGGCCATCCACTCATTGTAATTCTGATAGCAGGTGCTGTGTCAGAGTTAATGGCGTTAAGTCGAAACCATTCAGTGTTCGCACTGGTCTCAGCCAAGGCCGCGTCCTGTTCCCTATCCCATTTGTGTTGTAAATGGATAGAATAGTGAGGTGGAGCCAAGGTGATGAGGGTAGCAGTGTAGGAAATGTGAAGACGATAAGGTTGTTGCTTGCAGACGTCCTTGTTTGAGTGGTGTCTTTTGAAATTGATTAACAGTGCTCTCTGGCAAGCCGCAGCCGAGTTCCGCCGGTATGCACGTCAACGCTTCTAAAACGTAATGCCTAGTGCGTTCTCGTTCTCCAACCCGTTGCTCACTTCAGATTAACGGAGAGGCAGTGGAGCAGGTGGAGAAGTTCAAGTACCTCGGAATTGCATTTACTAGTGATGAAAAATTGGAGGAAGAGATCGACCGGTGAATTGGAGCAGAAACTGGCGTTCTGCGTGAACAAGCCTGATCCATTGTGAGTAAAACAGAGCTCAGTCTGAAAACTAAGTTCTGGATGCTCAAGTCGATCTTTATCCCTATCCTTATGGTTATGAGTCTTGGACCATGACTAAAAATCTTCTATCCCGGATACAAGGGACTAAAATAAGCTTACTGAGACGAGTCGCTGGCCTTACGTGTCTCAACATGGTCAGGAATACTGATATCCGGACTAGCCTTGTGTACAGTCTTTGATTGTCCAGATTGACAAGTCACAGCTGTGATGGCTTAGGCATTTTTTGCGAATGCCTGCAGAAGGGAAAGCTAAGCAATTGTTCCTTGCAAATCTGACCGGCAGAAGTCCCAGGAGACCGCCAAGATTAACCTGGTGCAAATATATGGAAGGAGCCTGTTCCAGACTCCAGTAGTGCTTTGCCGAAGCTCAGAGTCTGGCATAGGATCAGGAAAGTTGGAAGCTCTGTTTAACGCGTCTGGCTCTGGAGCGCGAAAGGAGAAGTGGCGATGGAAGATGAAGGTGAAGGTGAAGGCATTGGCCACTATGCATAATGAGGGTCAAACGACTGCATGAATTAAGGAAAAATTTTTACTTCAGGATGCAGATGACTCGCGTGGATGTTACGATTAAGAAGAGGATGTTAATACCATCAGAATATCTGGCTGAGTACAAAGCATTCGCTGCAACTACTAGAATCCCACCTGGAGGTACGAAACACGATAGTCGTCGACCAAGAAGTCAACATACAGCAAGAATAACATCGACAGACCTTCTTTTGTTTAGGAACGGTTCTCTCTACAATAGAGTAACCTGTGCCTTATACGAGAGTGTTTAAAAATTGCAAATACGTCGGGTCGTACGTACCAGAGAGGGTACTCACGTAATCTGCTCAAGATGATGATCAGAACAGACATGCAGCAACGGATGCGTTGAACGAACGACAAACATGGGCGCACACTGTTTTCGAACTAAGTTGAATGTCGGTGACTGTTGGCTGGTTTGTCACTCAGAACTTGGACACGGTGGAATGATGGCAATTCTTTTCACTCTTTATTAGCGCAGAATGATAGAGTAATTATGTCGCGATAGGTCTGCCTGAATTATGACTGACGCGCTTCTGTTCTGAGCGTTAACGGGCTACCGCAAAACTTGATAGGTAGAGCGGCCTTCCTTGCGCTCGACCCCGTAATACAGTTTTAGTCACCTTGCAAACTTTCGAATTTCAAACGGAAAGGTGGTTGAGAAGATCAGGACAAAACATTTATACGCAGTATTCTTGTTTCAGTTGCTCGACAGGTTCTGTTGCAAGTTACAAACTGCAGACACAGCTACCTGGGGCAGGTACGATTACGAACGACGTCTTAAGGAGGACGGGCAGTAATTAAAAAGTTGCAACTGGGCATGCCTAGAGTCTAATGGTTTTGAACATCATTCTGAGGATATCATATATTCAATAATTGCTGAAACAAGAATCGCAGTGTTATGCAAAGATAATAAACTTTAGCCATGCACTAAGACAAATTTAACAGTATATGATAGATTTAATAGACAATTGGCTTAATCATAGTGTATCTGAGGTCTTTCGAAAATTTCCGCCATGTGCAAATGATATACGGCATCTTCCATACGTCTTGGATAGTAAATCATTGTTACAGCCATATTTACAGAGTGGTGTTTACAACAACAAGGTGCAGAAACGGTGTAAGCAATGTTCCAGTGGAAAAACTGGCTAAAAAATACATTATGAAATTACTTTAACACAACTGAGAATACTCCTCTAATACGGATCGAGTGTGATCCGAGACGCTGGAAATATGCAGTATGACATTTTTATGCAGGTTAACCCTTGAAAAACCTTAACGATTTAGGTTTTCGCACTCACATAAAAAATTGAAATAATATCTGTTAAAGTGGTAACTATAAATCTAGGTATAGCAATGCAAACCTTCGGTGGTGACCATGCCCTGCTACACCTAGCATTAAGATTAGCTTAGCCAGTCGCGCTAAAGATGCAATCAAATTAATCGTGCATATTTGTAATGGCATCATATATTAATTGTAAATACTAGAATAAACTGCTGAAAGTTCGCTTTTGTTTTGCTTACCATATGACAATTTTTTGTTATAAATTCATGGTGCCTTAAAATGCAAGGCAATGCAAAGGATTGGCAGCGTCAACATACAAAGGGAGGACAATATGATTTCGGCGGGGTTTGCATACTTTTATCATCCAAACGACATGAAGAACGCTACCTTTCGTTTCACTGCCTGAAAATGCCTCATGAACACTTATCTCGCCTATAACTCTTCACCTTCTGCTCAGAGAGCAGACAGCTTTGCGTAAAAATTATTTATTGCAGTAGGATTTTATATGGAAACTGTCTTCTCCCCCAATACTTTCTTTTGCATTTGCAATAGAATTGCCCTTGTCCTAGCAGATTTCCTTATGGGACACAAATATGCTGCTATTATTAAGTTTGATTGGGAATTTTTTTTATTCTGGGCCTGGTTTTGAAGTTGTATATGATTTGTTGATTCATGAATAAAGGCACTATTCAATAGCAGTGTATATTCTTTGTTGCCTCCTCACCTCATAGCGTCGTCACGGCACAACCGATATGGTAGGCAGCAAGACGCCCTATATATACAATGGATGGCATACATACACCAGATACTAAATCGGCATATTCATAACTGTACATTTAGTTCATCGCACCTACAATATTTCATCGCCAAAATGTGCAGGGGCTCCTTTGTTCAAAAAACAAGGCCTTTGCTGGTCTTTAGCGAACAGACACGTTCCTACGACAGAATGGGTGCTAGTCAGAAACTGAATGCATCCCAAGAACAGAATAGTTAGCCTGCCTGATGTAGAATGCACATGAGAAGTGGGTTACGCAAATATTCCATTTTCAGTAGATCGTTCCATCGCACACATTGTCACAGTATTTGGACTC